AATCACTGAATCTTTTTTTCATCAAATCAACACCAAATAAGTTCAGTCAAAATGACGCAACACCTTTACAGAATATGTGGAATATATGCAACAAATAACTGGTGCGAGAGAAATTATTCAAAGCAAATGAGATTGTGTCAGTATATCGTTATGATTATAAGCGATAAACTGTTCTCTAAACATCAACCATGTACTAATATTGTATCACTGTTTGCTATATCAAATGAACTTATCTAATATGAAATTATATTCTACCATAGTGCCTAAAAGGTCTTCGACAGAGTTGACCGGGAAGTAATTTGGAAACTACTTCAACACTACAGCGTGCAGTGCCCAAGTCTTTATCGACCTCATTCAATGGCTATACGAAAATGCCACATGCCAGGTGATCCACAACGGAAAACTCAGCAAGGTGTTCGAAGTGAATTCATGAGTAAGACAAACTGGCTTCCTATTATCACCGATGATATTCTTAATTGTGATGGAATGGATTATGCGTCAGACTGTGCGTGGGAGTGAGGAGGCAGGAATACGCTGGACTACCCATAAGAAGACTCTAGAAGATCTGGATTTCGCCGATGATTTGTGTTTTAATGTCACACAAACTCCAAGAATTCCAGGCGAAAACCAACAAACTGGTAGAAGAGGCTGGCAGCGAAGACAGGACTCCAGGTGAAGATGGAGAAGACAGAGGCGATGAGGATAACCAACGAACAGTAACAACAGCCGGCACCAATCACCATCAACAGGAGAGATTTGATAGTGGTTATTTACTTCACTTATCTGGGAAGCATCATTTCAACTACGGGCACGCCGAACGAATGAAGATGTGAAAGCCAGCCAGAATGGGAAAGGCATGATACACCTTCATCAACCTGAAACTAGTTTCGAAATCTTCTGCACTCCACAGCATAAAGAACAAGATTCCGATTTTCAAAACAAATGTGAAGTCGGTCACTTCTTCTATACGGGCCACAAACTTGCACTGCGTGTCACGAAAAAGATTTCCACCAGGCTTTTACAGATTTTTGTCAACAGCTGTCACCTTATCTGGCCCCATACTCGAGATTAGATGGTCGAGTGTCCAGGAAGAATTAGCAACAAGAAACTCTGGCTGTCAACAAACCAACCAAGAGCCGATTGCTCAACAAATATGTATGAGAAAATGGAGGCGGATTGATAAGGCATACGTTGAGGAGACCATTGAATGACATCGCACTCAATGCAGGCCATTGCTCAAGTAGAATCCGAACAGGGTAGTTGGTGGGAGGGTGACATGGAGGAGATCGTGTGAGTCGGAGTAGGAGATGAGAAATTATGGGCAATCGTGTGGCTAACCAGATTAAGAGGACGGCAGAAAACAGAAAAAAGTGCAGATGTGTTGTTGAAGCCCCATGTTCCACTCGGAACCCAAGGGAATAATAATAAAAATAATAGTGCCCCAATTCTATGCTTAAATGGATTACAGTGATTAACCCTCATTTAATAAAGTCTAAATCAATGAGACTTATTGATCTCTGAGGCTGTTACATTCAAGAGACAATGATAATTGGGCAATCATCAGTTTTAGATAAACAATGACAATGATACCGCACAATTTAAACAAATGCTTTTTACTTTTGTCAATCACCATTTTAAGTATTGGTTTTGTAGGGATTTTGTTTGATTGGATGGAAGATTTCATCATGAGCTGACATCAGTTAGAGAACCACTGGAAAACCTGGGAGTACTGGGCAGCTGTTTTGTCCTAATCTGGGACTCTTCATCGGTACGCACCCACCGCCTGGGTTCGAACCCTGGTGGATGCGCATCGATGAAGGGTCCCAGATCGGGACGAAACAGCTGTCCAGTACTCCCAGGTTTTCCAGTGATTCTCTAACTGATGTCAGCTCATGATGAAATCCTCCATCCAATCACAGTTTCAGTCTGTAATTAAGAATATGTATATAAGTTTCTGATGATAATTGTTATCAGTAAAATCAATGATTTCTCAGGTTGACTACTGATGATGATCTTCACCATTTCTCAACTTACATAACATAAACTGGGAATTATTCACTTCAAGATGAGATATGAGTTAACCAAATCTATGTTCAATAATTTTTTTCACATAAATATCCAACTAACAACTCAAAATGGTGTAGTTATATTCATTTTATGTTTTAGTTTAATTTAACAAAATTCTGTGAGTACAAAAACTATTTCAGTTGGTAAGTTCACACAATACAATATTTCACAAAAATTATATCACACACGCACGCACACACACACACACAAATACTCACTTACTGATACTTCATCTCTAAGGTGTCTAGATGTTGTGTTTTCTAAAAGTTAGACCATTTCATGTACATGAAAGATAAATTATAGTAAATGTATTTATGGACTTCGATTTCAGTTATTCGAATTTATGACAACAACAAAAACAATAACTAAAAATAACTGAATAACAGAGTTTTGAAATAATTCCTTTTTTTCAATTTCATTTTATTAATTTTACATGATTTCATATCGATAAATCTCAACAACAACAACAGCTAGTTGTGAATTGTAAATGTTAAGCTTATGTTTATGTAGAATGGGACGCGCGATTATACAACTGACGTACCATGCATTCTACTAGCATTATTAGTTTTAGGCATTAAATGAAACCATTTAGACTCATTGATATTAGATGGTTGGAGGCAATCGGCCACAGGAAGCCTTCGACCTAGGTTTCGTGCTAGTTGGCACTCACCACCCAGCAAGGCGTATCTGCAACCTTGAAGGAACTCATGTCCTCCTCTTCTGAGATTCGAACCCGCATCACCCAGTAGTGCTGCAGTCAGAGACGTTACCACTGAGCTATTCAAGCTCGCGATTGACCTCCTGTAGGACTGTATTGCAAGCTTGACTGATAGAATTCAGTCTGCAGCGAAGATAGGAATAGACACATTACACTAGTTACTGACTAGTGTGCAATCAAAAATACCATTTAGACTCATCCAGTGACGTCTTCATTCTGCGTATTAATTCCGCTGTAGATTTTTCAACCTTATTCATTATTGTATCTACAGGTTTCTTAATTTCCTCATAAGGACCCGTCTCAATATGTTCAATGACTTTCTTGATATAGTCAGATTTATCCAGTGTTTCCTTTATCAACTTTTGCGATCACGATGTTTTTATCCTGTTTTAGACTAAATAGAGCTAATCTTTCCGATTTTGTTAAGTTTGATTTTGCTTTCTTTTTGATTTTTCAGGGTTAATGCACATTGTGCTCGAACCTCTTCTGCCATCGTCTTATCTACTGAACTTAGTGCTAATTCTATGTTAGGAATGACAACATGTGGTTTTAATTTACTAACTGTTACGTTGAAATTTAGTCCTTTCTCAAGTACTTTTATCTCACTAGAGCTTAGTTCCCTTGATGAGAAGTTGATCACCCATTTGGTTCTGTCTATAGAGGATGAAACGTTGGCGTCAATTTCATTTATTGTGTTATTTTCTTCCATTAGTTTGTTGAATTTTTTGATTTGTGTGTTTTTTGATTTTCTTAATGCTGATTCTCTAGCTTTTTGGATGTTTCAACAACAATTACATAATCTTCGTCATTTACCATATATTTGAGTTTGTGTTTGAGTTTTTCGATTTCATTTCGTGTATTATTTATTCTTATCTATTTATTCTTTATTTATTTTATTCTTATATACAATTAAAAGTTTAATTGATTTGCAGTCTCAATGCACTTAGCTACAGTTTGATTTTGATAAACACGCTAGACGAAGTGTTATCTGGAAAAGCATCATTCTTACATTTTTACTGATATAAAATTTATGAAATCTTCAATGAAATGCTTATGAAAGTTGGTGAAAACAATGTCATTTAGAGCAGCAAGTGTAATTACACAAGTTAATTATGAAATAGAAGGCTGTGCATTGTTCCCAAAAATATTCAAGGCGAAGTTAAACTTTGAGCACCGGTAAGTACCACTGGAGTGCGACTGCACCAGTGACTCTGAAACGCTCAATAAGCAAGTTAGTGAAACTTAATAAGTAGTATTGTTATCATGAGTAAAATATGCTCACTAATTTTAGAAAAGATTAAATTAAAGTTCAGGTTAAGGACAGGTTAGGGTTAGCTTAACCTACTGAGGGTGACATTATGGTTGCTTCGAGTTAGATTAGGGTTAGTTTAGAGGTATTTTCATCCTAGGGTTAGGTTAAGTAAAGATTAGGGCTCTTGTTAGAATCAGAAGACTAGATAATTATGTACACAGAATGTGGTTAAAACTCTCTGATGATTCTCCAGTCCAAAAGTGAGACATATTTTTATCACACGTCAGAGAAAGTTATCCTATTTAACAGTTCCATGCCTTTTAACTTATTATTTTCATGAATATATGTATTTTTTACGCTAATATCCCCTTTATCACGTGGTTGGTGCGTTCAAGGTCACCCGTTCGTTGGTGCTTACTAATGACTTTAGAAATCTCTTAGTAAAGCATACTTTATCGCCAGTTGGCGACTAGTGGGGTAGCCCATTAGTGCTATTTTTTACTAGAAACTATTCAATCACCACATGAAAAACAGCCTATCTCATTAGGCCACTTCAGCAGGTATATATCACTTCACTTGCTCTTGTAGGGCTGAGTACATTGGCCATACCATGCATCTGGTCGTTTGTTTGGTGCAGACGCAGATGCGCCTTGTTGACCGGTGAGTACCAGCTAGCACGAAACCTAGGTCAAGCAAGGGTTCCTGCCAATTTCCCCTAACCATCTGTTATCAACAATGCAAAGTGCACCGTGATGGCGAGCCACCTCGTGACATGTCGTTCACATTGACAGCTTGACTGATAGAATTCAGTCTGCAGTAAACAAATGACTATACACATTACACTAGTTACTGACTAGTGTCCAATCAAATTAATATCCATGTGTTCACAAAAGCTCAGTTAATAAATACAACCATTTAAGTAAGATTTACAACAAAACACGAAGTACTTTTTTTCTAACTTACCTTAACGTCAAGATGAACCATTTTTAAGGATTCATGCATGTACATCAATGCTTCAAGAATACTAACGAGTAATTGACAAACATATACTTCAGGCAATCCATCCTCAAGAGACTTTATAAACTGATGATCTGTTTTAGGTGACGTGGAAATACTGCAATTCCGGTAGGCATATCCGCATAAATCATATAATGATCCTCCATGTGCGCTATAGAACAATGAGAGAAAATAAATGTTGCATGTACATTAAAACTATTAGCAACAAGCTTGTACATTATCTTAAAGTAAATGTCCATAGAAGTCTACAAATCAAGAGCTAATGACTCATATATTTTACTACTCATTTAATAAAAACATCGCGTCGGCGGCATAGCGGTTAGGACGCTCGCCGACCATGCACATGGTCCCGGGTTCGATCCACGGCCGGCGCACTCCTTTACCTCACTAAGCCAGAAATAATACTGGTGAAGAGGAAAGGTTTGGCATGAGGTTAGCAACCCCATCCTGTAAAAATAAACACTGCTACAGAAAATTCAAACCTCTAGCTTGAAGCCCCATGTTCCACAGGGAACGTGAAGGAATAAAAAAATAATAAAAACATCAAGTTTGTCAAATTTGGTCAGAGCATCACAAGTTGTGGAAGAAATTCAACACAGTACCTATAGTTTAACCACCAAATGACATTCCATTCCTTTCTCCCATAGAAACACTTCCTACTTATGGGCAAAATGAATATAATCGAACCTGTTAAAACTAGACGAAGCAACATTTCAGTAGAAATTGGTTTCTTCTACATTAGTTCAACGAATAGACTATACTATAAGGTGGACAATACAAATTTTTAGTAGACATATGTAGAATGGAAATGTAAACATATTTAAAGGATGATACAGTGCAACTGACTAAAACAAAAATAAACATATATAGGCCCAAATATTCTTATTCTATACACAAATTTCTATGCAATGCAGGGGAAATATAACTCTATCACCTCTAGTTTAAACTTTATATCAACCCACAAACTTCGCAAAATTTGGAAGTGTAAACCACAGGACCAGGAGACGAAAGTATATGCTCTCGTTAGCCTTAAGGTATCTAATGATTGGATCAGGTCAGTTTTAGCACATCACACACTAATTTCCCTTTATCAAGTGAGAAACTGTATGAAACCAGGCTATATTTACTGCAATTTCTTTTCTTTTCACATATAAGATGGAATCCATAGGGATAGAAATCATTTCGGTTGTACAATGAGTTATTCAGACTGAAAAATGGTTGTCTCGATTTCAAGTTATGAAATTTGATCTGCTCGAACTGTATTCCATTAAATTTGAAATTGAGAGGAACAAAAACAAGCTGACGAATGCAGAGAAAAATATCCAGTTCTCCTCTGCCTCCATACATGGCATTTATTCTTCCTTTGATTTACACTAGACTTTTGTGTCCCTATAAATCTCTATTTGGATTACTCGCTAGGTTTTTCTTCTCAACTGTCAATGATAAGAAACTGGGCATTATCAGACAGATGTCGTTTTTAACCACGATACTTTCTCTGCACTTGTATGCAGATTACGGATTTTATGAAGTGTTTTGTATGTAAACACCGTTTATCCAGCCTTCTACTGAAATGGGAACAGACTTTACCTTTTCAGTACTCTCAGTATTTTGTTCAGTTAATTGTCACTGGAAGGTAACACCAACCTATTGCCAATTGGGAAACTATCAAAAACCGGCTGATTTTTAAGAAATAGCTTTCTTCAGATTCACATCAATGAAATTAGTAAGAATGTTAGATGTATGGAAGCAAAGTGGCGAACACAGTCCTAAAGTTAACTTTAGGTACCAATTAAAGCATAATGTTTTTATTTTGTTTACAATTAGCTAGGCTTCATTAACCAGTTAAAGAGTTGCTTGAAATATAGACACGATTTTACGCCTCCAACAATCATTAAAATAATGGACTGATAAAAGTGGTAAATTATGTGCGGGTTCGTGTCAAAACTACGAAATATAGAAGAGGAAGAAGTAGCAGCTTTGTGTTTTGCATGAACTTTTAGTGAAGCAATACAAAGTAGACTATAAGTATAGCCGCGTCTCGCATAATTCGTGGTCTGATAGTAGTAAAACATGTGCCTACGCAAAAAATACATGTTTCTGTAGAAACACAATAGCAAAGTACAAAAGGTTTAATCTTTAGATATATCGCAGCACACTACTCGTCTCAGTACTATTTTTATTTATCTTCAGTACATCAGTGATGTCTATAGTTTATTATACCTTGAAGATGACTATGAAGAATTTGTTAATAGTTCAAGTACAAAACTATGAAAGTGAATTTTTACAAATTTAACTAAAAGAAATCAGACAACTTTTACATGGAAATTTCGCTGACATAACAAATCCTTCCATACAGTGTGATTTGTATTTGGTCCACATGTAACTTCTCAGTTGCATTACGAAAAATTAGCAAAGTAATCCTAATTTCTTGAAAACATAAAACTACAAATAAAATACCAAGAAAAATCCAAACAAATCTTAGTATTTATGTAGTCACTTGAATGTTATGGGGAAAGGTTTCCGATTTCTGTGTAAAGATTTTTATTATTGCAGATCTCATAAAAGTTAGTTATTCTCGCATTTCATGAATACATCAAGAACAAAAATTCAGTTGATTAAAACCACTCGGCTGGTCTAAATGTATATGATGGGAAATATACGCTATCAGTGACAGGTTATCTTTCCTCCACATAAACTTATCAACATTACAGAAACTGTAGGTAGATAATCATATTAAAATATGAATATGTGGTCCTAATCGTACATTTCTCTGCACATATTTACAACTGATCAAAAGTGCCGTTTTAAACAGTCTCATTAAGGATAGTATCTAAGCAGCTGTTTAGACTATGAAGTCGTGACTAACTTTTCCTTTAGATCCAATTTCATTGAATGCTCTGCAAATACAGACTGCCATTCTAAATGAAATTTATCTCCTATCACAATAGTCAGTCATCGACACTAGATAAATTTATACATGCGGTCTCAAAGATTAGGAAGTAATCAAATATAACCTATAGAAGTAATGATGCTTCATAATACAAACTGAATTTTTACGCATTATTTACTTGAACAACATAAAAGTGGTTACAATTAAAAGCTTACTATTCCATAACGATAGCTACTTCCAATGAATCTTCGTGAACAGCAAATAGTTTAGGTGAGGCGGATTTTGGCGGATCCATTCGACTTCCTGGTTGGATCGAAATGAGGAATGAATCAGTACAAGCAAGATTGTTATTTTCAAAGTAGTGGCCTGAATAGCTCTGTAAATTGATCATCGCTCGTATCTCAGAAGTGATTTTTGAGAAAGTATCTTTTCCTCCACGGAATCTGCGAATTGCTTTACATGCAAAATATTCACCAGGCTTGGCAAAATAATTTTCTGAACATATAATTGTCGAAAAATTCTGATAGTCTGAACTTGAAATTTCCAGTAAATTTATGTTGTCCGCAAATACTTTGTAAACCTTGCCAGCATAGCCACTGCAAAATATTATTACTTAAAAAAACTTACCGTCCAATAGGATCACCATCCAACCTATAGAAGTTTTTCCAAGAATGTTGTTGTGTTCCTGATTTTTCATGTGTATGTGATTTTCTACCAGATAATGAATAGAAATTACGGCGCGTTGACATCTTCATATGTAATCACATTACAAATTCAATTGAATAGGTAAATTTTTCGGAGGAGATAAGGATTGGACAATGAAGCGAGTTTCTTGAGCTATTTTACTTTATCCTGAAAAAATAATGTTTTAAAAAAGAATTGATTAGATGGATGACAACGTGGAGACAAACAATTAAATGAGTAATTTCAAATAAAAATAAAGAATTTTATTTTCGAAAGAGATAGATCTGCAAGTTCATTAGCGGTGATCAGTGTTACTGAAATAGTAATTTGTTATAATTTCCTATATTTTAAATATATCATTGCTATCAAGACGAAATCCGAAAATTACACTCTTCCCAGACTGTTTATCGAATACACTTAAGTAACGTACCGAATACGAAAACAGATAACGTTAGTGACCTTGATCTGAAATTGACACAATTTGGGAGAGTAAACTTATAGTGAATGATATAAACACAAAACAGCCTGAAGTAGCACAACAGTTTTCGCCTCAGCCAATCTAGTATTTTAAAGTATACAAGAGAAAAGTGAAAGGTATCTAGGCCTGTTTGTAGGAAAGAAGACATATGAATCAGTGTAACTTCGGTTTTTCATGAGTTTATGTCTTAGGGCGGAATCTAAGCATGTCTTCGATATTAAAGGTCACGAAAGGGTTCCGTTATGATATATATCTGAAATTACCCAATTTCACACTTGCGTGATATAAGCAATTTTCCGAATGCAGGAACCAACAACGTCACCGTTCGTTTTCTCTGAAGTTGTTTCTAATTTATGGGGTCATACTTACTTAGTGGGTAAATTTGATTTAACTGTGGCGATAAATTGATTATTAGGGCTAAAAACCTACATCTAACGATGATTATTGAAGCTAACGCCATTAAGTGTATATATTTGACCAAAATGGCCGTGCTATCTAATCTATCTATCCAGGATGGCGGCCTGTTTGACATCTGGTCTACCTTTCTGTACATCTACATATTTGCATCTAATACATCATGTTTCCATTTTTAATTTTAACAAAATATGGTCACAAATCGTATCAAATACAGTAATGAATTCATTAAATGTTTTAAACCATATGACTTTCATGCATCTAATAAAACTAAGAGAAAACATCATGGTGGTTGGCAACGCGCTCTCAAACGGACACCATTATATCGCACAACTATTCCTGTTATTGTCAGTTCAAACTGCCGTTCACTTCCCAACAATATTATGCATCTCCAGTCTCTCTTATCATCTGATACTTATCACAATACTGCGATAGTCACATTACAAGAAACATGGCTCCATGATCTTTATGACGACAACCTGGTTTCTCTAAATGGTTTCACATTGTTTAAACAAGATCGAATATGCTCTAGAAAGAAAAGAGGTGGAGGAGTCGCAACCTTCATTCATTCTCAGTGGTCAACTTCAAATAGTGTATGTTTTTCTTTCTCTAGTGACATTATTGATTGTATTACAGTCAAATGTCGTCCGAAACACCTATCCAAGTTTAAATACGTCTTCATCTCAAACATTTATGTTACTCCTGGATGTTCCGCCTCGGATCTATCTCATTTTGCCGATGAATTCACAGCATTCGCGGTTACACATCTTGAAAACTCTTTATCAGTTGTTACTGGAGATTTCAATACCAGTGACTGTTCTTTTCTTGAATCATTAGGTCATGTCAACATTGTCAAATTTCCAACTCGACTTGATAAAACTCTGGATCTAGTATTTACTAATGATGCGGAAATATATGAAGCACGCAGACGTGCTCCTATAATGAACTCTGATCATTGTATTATTCGGATATTACCCAAGATATATAGCAGATATCACTCTAATATCCTCTCGAATCTCTCCAGGAAAACACAACAAAGATGTTACTCACAAGAAAACGTGCTCAAACTAAGATGTATGTTAAATGACACAAACTGGGAACTTTTCACTGAACACACTCTGGATGATACTATTTCCAATCTGACTGACTATCTTAAATTCTGCCTTGATGTATGCTGTCCTAAACAGATACTTTTCAAAAGAATAGATCATTTCTCTTCTCCTCATCTCAAAAAGCTTCGAAGAGAAAAAGAGAGACTGTACAAGGCTAAGGATAAAGCTGGTCTTAGGAGAATAAACATCCAAATCAAATCCGAAATCAAGAGGTTAAACAATATTTATAATCAAAGAATTTTGTCATGTAAAACTCCTGGGAACATGTGGAAGCTTTTCAAAGAAATTACAGGTTGTGGTAAGCATAGTTCTTGTTCTCCCTCTATTGATGTAAATACTCTTAATAGATCTTTTATCCGCCTTCCCAATGTACCTTCTAGCTTCAATGTAACAAATAACATGACCAGTTAAACGTGAAACCTGTGACTTGCTTTGTTATTAACAACATAATTTCATACTCTTTTATTTCTCTCTTATTTCGTATTCTTTAGTGAACTCCTTCTTCAAACTCACTTAGCTACCTGAAATATTAACATTGGCTTCCTTTTTTGTACTTTACTATATTCCTTCTATTGTGTATCCACTGGTTCTGACTATATTAGCACTATGAGTATTACAAAATTGTCGTGTCATTAACCATCATGTAATTATTAGTTTTGTGGTTGTTTTTCTTATTTTCTATACTTTTTGGCAATATTAAACTGACAATCATTGTTTGTGAATGCCATAGTCACCACCTCAAAAATTTTGTATTATTCAGGATTACTCACACTACCACCACAAACACTGCATTAGACCTTGGTAGACTTTGGTACTTTTTCGCATTCATAATTATTTTGTGTTTATCCTGTTTTTTTGGTTTTTTTGCTGTTGGTGTCTTCAGATTTACTTTTTTTGTTTGTCTAATACTTATTTTAAATGTCGGTAAAATTAGATGCAAATATTGTAGATATGTGCTGAAAATTCCACACTGTACCACTAGTACTGTTTCTGGAATAAAGCAAATTATTATTATTAGATATCATGTTCCATTATTTTTTCCACTAATATCCGCTTCTTATCTCAGGGCATGTTTGCGAATACTTCAAAAAATATCCTCCAAGATGATCACCGCTATACTTTAATGGAAGTGAATTCATGTGTTCTGAACACCAAAGTTAATCAGATGGACCGGTGACATTTCCACATCCCGTAAGTATGCACTTCTTAACCTAAGTGTTTCTTTGAGGCTATGGAAATCATTGTGGAAGGAGTCCAAGGAGAGGAAGTCAGTTCGTTCTGCTTTATGGGTCTCGAACGTGATATATTAATAACCTCCGACTCCTTGAGTGCCCAAAATACTTGTCATTCTTTTTCATACTAATTAGAGTTAAGTTGGTTGACGTCTAGTCTGTAGCTAGTATCAACAACAGACCAAAATTTCAACGAAGTTCTGCCTTACTATATCAGAACTCCTAGGGTAGCCGTGCTTACGTTATTAAGACTGAATCTTACACACACAGCGTAAATGATTCCAACAGCACCTTCAAACATCTGTCTAATCCCGTGTTGCCATCCATTTTATCTTGGTGGACAATTCCTACCTTCTTTTGTTCATTAACTGAAAGAGGAAAATAAAAGTTGTACTGGTGGGAGGATAGATTTAGATAAACAGGATCGAAGCCAAAGAATAGCTGTATCACCCCTGAACAGTGCACATCAATCTATTTTCCATTTTCTGCAAATCCAAATTTCTCTCCACTCATTGCTTCGACTTTTAGCAACGAAATCGGCAAAAGAATTAATGGAATTGTTTGTGTGAAACTAGAGTGTCCTGATGGATTCCTTCGGTCGGATCTAAAAGAGAGACATGCCTGAGGCCGAAGCCTGCACCGATGTGAGGCACTGACTAGATAGCATAAAATTTACCCTGTCATTCCTGTAATGTCCCAATGAATTATGTTTGACTACACATAAGTGACCTATGGGGATAGAACTCTAGGTCTTTTGCATGTATTTGTTTTTTGAAGAGATAAGTGATCATATCTTATTAGCACATGATGAGGACCACAATGACTTTTCAAGGAAGAGGATTCCTTAAATAATCTGAACAAATTTTACCAATATTAGCTCTTACTCCTAATGAAAGTGGCCTAAAAGTCATGTCTCGACAAAACTCATTCATACTTCTATTTGAAATATAAAATTGTGAACCATGAAACCTTTCGAGGCCGTATCATTTTGCCTTACGCGCTTAGGATACGCCGACTTAGTTGTCTTGATAAGATGAATTTCATAATTCACAATCAAGTCATCTCAGCGTATTAATGCGTCAAGAGCCTAAAACATAAGAACACAGAATAACTTTTACAGGGTCCGGTGAAATAACAATAATGCTTGGGATGTTACGAGTGCGAAAATGGAATAAAGGTGTAGTGTACCATAATGACTGTACAAAGTAAGTGTTGGGAGAGTTACCGGGAGTTCACCAATAATTGCAACTTTTGCAGGCCGAATAACTCGAATTTTCTAGAGTTAGGGACCTCACGACCCTCGATTATTTTCTGGTCACCACATACAGACTGGGGATTAGTCCAAGAACTCATTCGACTCCGTCACTGGGATGAATATATTTTACCACTGACTCCCTGGAGGCTGTAGTGTCCCTATTTTACGGGAATGTTATCCTTTGTCTAGATACTGTTGCTCCTAAGAAGGTAGTGAAATTAAGTAGACACCAAACTGAATACATTCCGAGGGCATGCCGCAATAAGTTAAGGAAGTTGAAGAAACAGTACTATTCCACTAAGGATATATCACTACTGCACTCAATCCATGAGTCTCTTGAATCTGTCAAGCGCCAACGCTCTCAAAAGGACCTCGACGAAGAGTTAAGGGCACTTGAAAGCACCTCCAAAGTTTATAACTTAACAACACTCCTTAAAAACGAATGAAGTGGACTAGGGACATCCCCTATTTACTTCATGACAGTTATCTACAATGTGCCTGCCACCATCTGTGAAATGTTCAGTGAATGGTTTGCAAACTTCATTTTAGAAACGCGCATTCCTGGTGACACCGGCCCCCTTACTAGCTCCTTCCTCGGAAGCATAGTGTTCACCGACCAATTAATAGAACAAGCAGTTAAAAGCCTGAAACCTTCCACTAGCACGGGACCAGATGGCCTTGCTTCCATAATTTTCAAAAACAGTGGGTGTGATATACCCCTACTACTTCTTAAATTCTTCTCAATATCTATGGACACTGGCACTTACCCTAATGAGTGGAAAACTAGCTTCATAATTCCACACTATAAATTCGGTGATAAGGCAAACGTCCGCAATTACAGACCCATAAATATAACCCCAGTTGTCTCTCGAATCATGGAGAAAGTTGTCAAAGATCAGTTGTCAGACTATCTACTTAAGGAAGATCTTGTTACAAGGTCTCAACACGGATTTCTCAAAAATAGGCCTTGCGTTACTTGCCACTTCGACTTTTTCAACTGCATC